CCCGCGGAGTTGACGCGCCGCATCTCGGGGACTCCGGGCGGAGGCCCGAAGCAGTTGGGGGAGCTGAGGCTGCGCCCCGTGGCGCCGCGGGGCGTCCCGGGGTGACGGTGGGGCTCCCCGACGTACAGGCGCTTCTTGATGAGGGAACGGCCGGCGCCCGAGAAGCGCTCCAGGCCCCCGGCCCCAGGGTAGCGCGGGCAGGGAAAGCGGGAGAAGCCGGGCGCCGGCGGGGCCAGGTCCAGGGGCCGCCCCAGCTCCGAGACGTTGTTCCTGGGGGGCGATCGCCGGCGGCCCAGATGCTGGGGGGCTGGGGCGGGGGGCTCGGGGTCGTTGCTGAACTCGGGGGGCGGAGGGATGAGCTCGAAGCCGAGCTCCTCCTGCTCCTCCCTCTTGTAGGCGGGGGAAGGGGGGGACGAGAAGGACTTGGGGAGGCCAGCGGCGGGGACCGGTCTGGCCCAGGGAGTGGGGGGCTCCCCATTGGTCCACCGGGGCCGGAGGCTCGGCTCGGTGGCCTCCGGGTGAGGCCGGGACACCCACTGTCTGGGTGCCCCCGCCGCCGCCGTCAGCTTGGAGTCCTCGGCCTCGTGGGGTGACTTGGGGACCACCGTGAAGGAGTTGGGGCGCCCAGCGTTGTAGAAGATGCTGTCGGAGCCGGCGGCCTCGGGCTGGCTGCCGTGGCCGTGGCCCCGGAGGCTCCCCGGCAAGGAGGACCGTCCCGGGGTCCCCCCAGGCCGCCCCTTCTGCGCCCTCTGCCTGGCCGCCAGGAGCAGCGCCATCGGGGAGCCGCGCTCCACCAGCTCGCCGGTCACCGGGTGTCTGAGGAGCTGGTCTGGGCCCGGGGGTTGGGCTTCCCTCCCCTCGGCGCGCCCCTCCCCGGCCGCCTCTCCTCCAGCCAGCGTGGGGCTCACCACGGCCACCTCTCTGCTCTGGTTGTTGTGGCCACGGTGGGGCTTGTAGAGAAAGGGGGCGTCTTCTCGGCCGGGGGACAGCTTTGATGGGAGGGCTGGAGCCCAGCCTGCTCTCTGGGCGGGGAGCCTCCCGGCCTCCGGCCCACGCTCTTCCCAGACACCTTTTACGTACTTGGGCTTCTCCCCCTGCCCGCCTGCGATGAAATCCTTCTCTCTCGGCGATGATGTGATGGGCAGAGGGGTAGCTGTGGATGATGCCGTAGGCCCAGCTGTGGCCTTGGGTGGTGTGGAAGGCCCAGCTGTGGTCTTGGGTGGTGTGGAAGGCCCAGGTGTGGTCTTGGGTGGTGTGGAAGGTGCAGCTGTGGTCTTGGGTTGTGTGGAAGGCCCAGGTGTGGCCTTGGGTGGTGTGGCAGGCCCAGGTGTGGCCTTGGGTGGTGTGGAAGGCCCAGGTGTGGTCTTGGGTGATGTGGCCGGCCCAGCTGTGGTCTTGGGTAGCGTGGCCAGCCCAGGTATGGCCTTGGGTGGTATGGAAGGCGCAGCTGTGGTCTTGGGTGCTGTGGAAGGCCCAGCTGTGGTCTTGGGTAGTGTGGCCAGCCCAGGTGTGGTCTTGGGTGATGTGGCCGGCCCAGCTGTGGTCTTGGGTAGCGTGGCCAGCCCAGGTGTGGCCTTGGGTGGTGTGGAAGGCCCAGGTGTGGTCTCGGGTGTCGTGGTGCTGGGCAGAGGCGTAGTAGACAGAGGTGGTGAATTCCTGGCTGTGGGCACGGTCCCATTTTCAAAGGTTCTTCCCCTGTCTGGCGGAGGTTTGGGCGGCAGAGCCCCTCCACTGGGTCTGACGTCTTTGTTGGATGAGGAGGACAGCCGGGCCTCCAGCTCCTCCCTGATCTGTCGCACGCTGGGGGCTGGTGTGTCCTGGGGCGTGTAGTCCACAGGGGGAAGGACCAGGCTGCCGGTGGCCTCGTGCTCTGCCAGGCTGGGGCCCTGCCCAGGCGCCCCTGTGGGCATCTTCTTGGGCAGGCCCGGGCCTGCTGGCTTCTCTGGCGGCCTGTGGTCCTTCTTGCTGTCCGCATCCCGCGAGGGCCCCGCGGGGCCTGGCCTGGGGCCCAGGGCCCTGTCCTCTCTCCGGGGGCCGCAGAGGTAGGCTGCCAGCTCGCTTCGCAGCTTCTCCATCTGGCCTGGGTGGCGCCAGTCCACGGGCTCAGGCGAGGCCTTGTCATCCGGGCTGGGGGGCTTGGGTTTGGGGATGGCTTTGAGCGTGGGGGCGCTGGCTGTGGAGCTTTTCACCAATCCAACAGATGGAGGGGCTGCCAGCTCTGCCCCGGGAGGGAGAGGGGGTGCGGGGGGAGGGGCCGGGGGTGCAGGAGGGGGCAGGGGCGGGGCTGGGGGGGGAGGCACAGCTGGTTCATGGGCCTGGCTGGTGGGGGACAGCCTGAGGCCTGGGCGCTCTGGCTCCTCAGGCCTGGGCTCCCTGGGGAGGTCGGGCTCGGGGACACTGTCGGGGTACACCTGAGAGGCAGGGCGGACATGGAAGCTGGGAGGCAGGGGGAGGCGGCTGGGGGGCTTCCTGGGGGACCCCACTTCCTCTGGGCAAGCTCCCGGTGCCTCGGGCATGGGGATGGAGGACGTGCGGACCGGGGTGGGGGGAGGCACTTTGAATGAGCGCGGAAAGGTGAGGTGGGGCTCCGGGCTGGCTCCCAGGGGACCCCCTTGCAGGGCAGCGGGGCTCCTGGGGGGGCTGGTTCTGGGGGTCTCCGGCTGCCTGCCATTCAGTGCTGCCTCTGATTTCCATTTGGTGACTCCCCCAGGGGGAAAGAGCTGGATCCCCAAGGTGTGGGGAGACCGGGGGGCTGGGGCAGCTGGGGGACCCAGGGCCGGCGAAGAGGGGGGAGAGGGATCTAGAGGCGCCAGTGGCGGGGCGGGGGGG